CCACCCCGGGACCAGCTCCCCGCGGGCTCCGAAAGCGGCTGTGGGGCAGCGGGCTGAGCGGGCAGGAGCTGTGCCGTGGGAGCACCGGGCACGGCGATGCACAGAAACAGAGCTGAGCACAGCTGGATCTCTCCCTTTGTTGGCTTTGGCCCGGAACGCCGCTGGGCCCAAGTTTTGGAGAATACATCCTCTTGTTCTCTTCCCCCCGGCTTTTCCAGCTGGATGCTGCAGGCTCCGCTTCCCGGCTGAACTCGTACGCTGCTTTGTGCTGCAGCCGCGTCCCGGGGCCGAGGCAGCTGCAGGGATTGCGCGCAGCTTATTTCTCTGGATTTCCTTCCATTCCCGCTCCTTCCCGCGTGGGAAAGGGTGAATGCACAGACCTAGCGCAAAAAAGCTTTTGCACGGGACCGTGGCACCAGCCAGGGTTAGGAGGAGCGCTGTGCGCCAGCTGCTGTGGGATCAAGCGTGGGTTATTTTAAAAAGTAGTTTAGAAATGGGTTAAATGTGTCGTAAAAAAATGGCCTTGCAGCTTTTCCACGTTCCCAGCCGCCGGCCGCACAGGAGCGGAGTGTAGGTAGAGCATGGTTCAGCCTCCCAGTTGTACTGGTGTGCTGAGCAGGAGCGGTGGGAGCCGCCCGAGGGGTCTGGGAGCCCGGGGGCACCCCTGAGCGCCCCATGTGGTGTGCCCATGGTGGAGGGGTGTCACCTCCACCCCAAACCAGCCCCTAACCCACCCTCCTCCTCCCCAGCTCCTCGCGGAGGGGACCGTGGACCAGGGGTGGGTGAACCTGAGCAGAGCTGGACCAAATTCATCTTCATTAGACCCCCCTTTCGCAGCGTGCAAAGCTGGGGGGGGGGAAGGGGTCTGCAGGACACCCTGGATTTCCATCTGCCCATGTTCCAGGGGCCAAAATTCACGCCGAGAGAATATCCCCGCCCGGTCTCAGAGGGCAGCTTTCCGGTTGCGTGTCTGGAGCTTTGAATTCTTGCTCACATCACTTCTTTCTTCTTTCTCTCTGGGTTGGGTTTTTTTGGTTTGTTTTTTTTTTTTGGTGAGCGATGAATGGACAGGGTCCGTTTTGTCTTTCGTGCTTGTTTGGCCCCGTGACGGTTCGGTGCAGAGCCATTATCGCTTGGGCAGCGGCCAGGGGCTCTGTCACGCACCGCGGAGCCTGGGAATTTTAGGTCGAGTCCCTTTCCGATGCTTTGCAAATTAGACCAGCTAATTTGGTAACGCCGAGCCTGTGAAATCGATGGGGAAATTGAGGTGCCGGAGCGGTTTGGCCCAAGTGAGCGTGTCATGGGCAGAGTCGGGGTTGGCATTGCGGCGCGTGGTCCTATTTCCCAGCCTGAGACGAAGCCCGTTTCCTGGAATTTGTTTCTCGACATCTCTGGAGATGGGCCCGGTGCCATCGCAGCCTCCTCCTGCCCGGGGCGAGGGGGAGGACGGGCACGCAGCAAACCGAACTCTTGAAATAGCCCCGAGTAGTTTGCAGAGGAGCCTCAGAGAGAAGAGGCAATTGTCTGCCTGTGCGGAGTGCGTGGGGTATAATTATTTTTCGGAGGAATTAACAGAAAACAGGAGAAAACCAGAAGGCCCTTTGGCTGATGGGATTATTTTCGTCCTTCCTTCCCTTCACGGGGAGGAAGAGGAGGGGGAACAGGGCCAGCGGGAGAAAGGCTTTCCTTATGGGAAGCAAACAGATGTAAAGATGCTGGAGGCAAATCTGTCCCCAGAAGAAAAACCTTTCCCTCGGGTTTGATTCTGCTCGCCCCCACCTCCCTTCTTTCCTTTCCCAGCGAGACATCATCTGCTGTGTGAGGCCACAACTGTGTCCCCCCCCACTGTGTCCCCCCTCAGCCGCAGGCGCCGGCAGCGCTGCAGCTCTTTGCTTGGAGCCGGGCAGGGACGGGGACACTCGCACCCACTTTTAATTTTTCCCTTTAATTCTTTCTGCCTGTTCCCAAAGAGTTTGCCCCGAGGTGGAACAGGAGGCGGAAAGCTGTTGCGTGCCGCAGCCCCAACAACGCGACCTTCGGAGCGGTGAGCCCGAAATAGCGGGGTCCATCTGCCTGCGGGGGGGTGCTGCCACCCCGCTTGGGGGTCCTGAGCACCCACGGGTGCCCCCAGCAGGGGAGGCAGGGAGGGAATCAGTGCCACCAGCACTCGGGTACCCATTACTGGGACTCTGTCCTTCCCTGGGAGGGGGGGCAGAAACAAAGAGAACTCCCTCCAAGGTCAAAATAAAAGGGTCTTTGCTTGTCTTAGCGCTGATTTAAATGCAACTGGTTGCAGATTTGCATGCAGACATCCTGTAAGTGCAAAAGACCCCTGCCCCAAAAAAAAAAGCGCTAAAAGAAACAAAAATTTTTTTTTTCTACCCCAGATAACGACTTTTTGCACCAAAAGATTCGCTTCTGTTTTCCTTCAGAGTTTCTTGTCTGCTCATGAAAATGCTTGCCTTTTTTTTTTTTTTCTTTTCTTTGAACAACAACAAAACTCCAGAGGGAAAAAAAAAAAAAAACCCAAACCAAAAAGGCAGATTTCTGGCTTTTTTCAAACGTTTCTGGTTTTGAGCAAAACAAAGCAGGGCCTTCGGGCTGTGCCGCTTGCCACCCCAGCGTCCCCATCCCGCTCCAGCCCCTAATTGAATTTCCTTGGAAAGCGCCTGCTCGAGTCTTATTAGTTGCAGAAACCCGAACTGTCCTCTGGGCGTTTTCTGTAGTTTTTTTCTGATTTTTCCCAGAGCTCCGCCTTGCTCGGGCCGTGCCCTGCGCAGCCTCCGGCGGGACGGACACCGGCAGCATCCCCGGGGCTGCGGGGTTTGGTGCGGGATGGAGCCACATCGGTCGCTCCCGGTGCAGCCCCTTCCCTTGTCGTCCCCCCCCCGGTGCCGTGCTTGGGTTGTACTGGTGGAAATGGGCTGTTGCGTAGCAGCAGGGATGGGCTAATTGTTTTTTTTTTGCCCCAAATCTCAATCTTTAGGCTTAGCCCACTGCAACTGCGTGCACGTGTGCTTTCACCCATCTCCGTCTGATCTTCAGCCGGGCTTTGGCAGCCTCGCTGGACTTGGTGTTTGATTTGGGGGAAGGTCCCCCCTGTCGCTGCGGTGCCGTCTCATTCTTTCCACCGGCGCATCCCCGGCTCTGTGACGGGATGGATCAGGCAGTACCTTTGGGAATCACTTTCATCCCAGCCCCATCCTCTTTTGGGGTGCTCCCCGTGGGTGTGCAGGAGGCTCCCGGTGCCGGCTCCTTCCCCCGGTGCGGGCGGCCGTGCCCGGGGCAGGATGATGCTCGCCCTGTTCGGCCGCTTTCGGTGCCAGGGCTGGGCAGCCGGCACGGCGTGTTCCCCGCAGCAGCAGCTCCTTCGCATGGCGAGGAAGCGGGTCGACTCGCTGGCTCCAGGAGCAATTACTTGCTCCACCCAAATGCCTTCATCGCTGGCCGACCTCGCCGCCTTCCTTCAGCGAGCGGCCACGCTGCTGCCCCCCCAGCCGTGCCCTGACCTCTGCAGAAGAGCTTGTTTTCCCCTCGCCGCGTTCAGCCGCAGCTCCTCCGAAGCTGCTTTAGGGTTCTGTGCTTGGAAGAACCCCCAAGCTAGCGAGCACGCACGCCAGTGGGAAGCTGAGCACCAGGACTGCAAAGTTTCGGGCTTCATCGCCATCGGGTGTTGTGTCGGGTGAATCCCTTTTACGTGCCTCAGTTTCCCCGTCGGGCTGAGCAGCGATAAAGCTCCATTTCGCGACAGCTTAGGGCTGCAGCTGTGCTAATGGAAAATACATGGGGATCGGGCAATGTATGACGGGCACTGGCTTAAAACCGTAGGCTGGGTAGATCTCAGGATGAAAGGTGCCGCATAAGTGCAAATTATTATTCTTCTTAATAATGATGTCCACCAGCTCACATTTATCTGCTCTTCAATTAACTTTTTTTAAGGACTCTTAGCAGGTTAGAAAGACAGAAATTTTCCCTGGCAGAACCTGTGCTGGTTTGACCCCGTAAGGTTACACAATTACTGTACTGGCATGGTCCTTAATTAGACTCTCCATAATTTTCCCCGGCACAGCCGTGTGGCTCCTTGCTCTGTAATTCCCAGAATCTCCTTGGATCTGATAGGCGTCACGTTAGCTGCTTTCCAGCCTTCAAGGATAATTGCTTGTCCTTGAGGACACCCGGGATGTCGCAGGACTTTCTCCTGCATCCTTCTTTTATGTCCTTCTGGCCAGCACGGGGGTTTATCCCCCACCGGGCAGCGCCAAGCCGGCACGGTGCTCCTCAAAGTCGGTGCACGTTGACTCGATGCCAGGCTGCACCTTTGATGGTTTTTCCCCATCGTTTTTCTCGGCTCCACAGCCCCGCAGTGCGTTTGGGATGTTACGCGTTGCTTTTTGGTTTAGGCAGAGCCCGGGCCTGACACTGGGAGATGGGCTGGTCTGGCAGCAGGGGGGCAGAGAGGTGGTCCTGCCGGGTCTGGTTTGTGTCCTGGGACAAGTCGCGTTGTCCCATGTCTCCAGTTTAGGCTTAGAGATCGCTTCTTCCCTTGCACCTGTAGCTGCAGTCCTGAATGCCGCCTTAAATATATGTTAAATATATTCTTACTGCATAAGGAATAGTTGCTCACCATCGCTGCAGTGACAGAGGTGCATGCTTCTTGCACTGATTTTATTTCTCATCTTCTCTGAAACCCCTTCTCGAGGGTTATCCCCCACCCGGGTGTCCTTGCTCACGGGTTGGAGCGGTTCTTCCATGAGCGTTGGTTTGTGCCTCCTTTGCAGGAGCCAGTTGGGTCAATGAGGACCTTTAGGCGATGGGATTTGTAGGGACACTTTGGCACGGGGTCTGCGCCCCAAACCCAGAGTCGGGCTTTTGTCACCGAAGGAGCTTTTAGCCGAGGGCGAGTGCCGAACACGGACAGACTGGATAGAGGCTGGTCCTGGCCTGTCTGGCCAGCCCGAAATTCCTCTCTTCCTACCCACCCAATGGCTATAAATAACAAATAATAACAACTCCCAGGCTGGCAAGCTATTTGGGGTTTTGTGGGTTGTTTTTTTTTTTTTTTTGCTTTGTTTTGCTTTTTTGCATTTAGGAAGTAACTTTTCATAGAAGCGAATATTTTTATTTTTTGACCGGATTCTTCATTGTCCCAGAACTGAACTGTTTATCCCAAGCATCACCCAGGTGAGCAGAGAGACACCGGGGCGAGCGCTTTCCGGGAGGGAAGCAAAGCTGGGCTGGATGTGTCCCAGGCGTGTTCAGGAGCTCTCGGTATTTTTCCTCCTTCCCTCCCACCCTCCTTTTCCTTTCCCTGAATATCATAGAATGTGAAAATGCTTTAGCGCATTAATTTCAGACTGAATGTAAATAAGCCATTGGGATTTTTCCCAGTTGAGCAAACTTTCAAACCAGAATTTTGCTTTCCTCTCCTGCAGCCTGGCTCGTGGGATTGGAAGGATTTGCTTCAGTGCTGTCTCTCCTGCACTTGAAACCACTTAATCAAGCTCCAAAATATCCCTTGACTGGGTCAGACAGGCACCTGATTGGGCCGGGCAGTGTGGACAGGAAAACCAGGAGAGATTACACGCTCATTTTATCTGCATAAAACAGATCAGAAAGCTCCCAAACTAAATATTGCTGCAAGGTAGCGTGTTGTTAATGGCAAATGCCTCGCTAGACTGTCTCTGTTTGTGTCTCCATCCAACGTTATCTCGTCCCTGACCAGCCATTCTGGCGGGATTACAGGGAGAGAGAAGGAAGGGCAGGAGACTCCTGAGCATCTCCGTGTCGGCAGGAGTTGCGACCCACGGCGTTAGATTTGGGTCCTCTTCAGGTCCAGAGTAGCTCAGGTGTGGATCGAGACGCGTCGAGACCCTTCTCCCTTCCCTTTTGTGATGGGTTGACACCACCTAATCCGAACACGCTGCCTGCTAGAGAGGGGGGATTTGCTCCAAGCCTGGCTTTAGCTGCTGTGCCTTGGAGGCGATTTTCTCTCCCGTGCGCTGCCGGTCGCTGGCGCGCAGCCATGCGTGGGGCAGCAGTGATGGGCGCACACCGTGGCGGTGAGGTCTCCATCCCTCTCCTGCCACCAGATTCCTTCCTCTGTAGCCTAAAGCACTTCGATAGAAGATCACACAGAATCACAGAATCAGAATCACAGAATTTTCAGAGTTGGAAGGGACCTCTAGCGATCATCTCATCCCACTCCCCTGCTGAAGCAGGACTGCCCAGAGCACATCCCTCAGGACTGCATCCAGGCGGGTCTTGAAAACCTCCAGAGAAGGGGACTCCCCCACCCCCCGGGCAGCCTGTGCCACTGCTCTGCCACCCCAACCGTAAAGAAGTTTCTCCGTGTGTTGGAACGGAACTTCCTCTGTTCCAACTTGTGCCCACTGCCCCTCATCCTGTCACTGGGAACCACCGAGAAGAGTCTGGCTCCATCTTCCTCCAACCCACCCTTTAGATATTTAAATCCGAGCTCGCCAGCAGCCAGGCACACCGTCTGCTGCGTGAAGGTACAGCTCAGGAAAGCTGAGCAGGAGCCACAGGGAAACCTGAGGTGGGTTTGACCCCAAAGCGTGACTCCAGATTTGTGTCTTCCCACGCTCCAGGCCTTCCCAGATGGGGGTCTGGGCGCCACAACCGGCTGCAGAGAAGAAAACCCACAGGTCCCTGTGAGGCGTGAGAGGCTGTGGCCGTGCTGTCTGCGGTGCGGCTCTTGTTTGTGCTGCCGGAGAAGCTCTGCCCCATCCGGGCTTGGCCCAGCTGTGGCCACGCTGCAGTTCCCTTTTGTTTGTCCAGCTTTTCGGGGATGGGGTAGCTCAGTCCTGCAAACTCATCAGGAATTAAGCGTGCCTCTCACTCAAAGCACAAATGGTTTTTTTTCCCCTAATCAGCACAATGTCTGGTGGTTGACCCAGAAGCTCCTGCAGACACTGGTGATGCAAACAGGGTCCTTCCCGCAGCCGGTGCTCCCCGAGGGACATTTTGTATGCTTGACTTTGCAAAGTCATGGTTAAAGCCTGTGAAACCTTACAGCTTCTTTATATCTTTCCTCTCCTCCCTGCTCTTTTTTTTTTCCTCAAATTTTGCAGTGCTTGGTGGACTTTGGAGCTCAGTGATGTCTTGGGGTATTTGCAGTGGGTGGATTTGGACTTTGTAAATGGGGAGAACAGTCAGAAAACCTGACCCGTGCACATCTCCTGGGCTTGGCAACCGGGAGGCAAAGAAAGTAGCTCCACGTCTATCAGCTTTCTAATCTGTCGTACCTTACGGCAGCACTGTGATTTGTTGAAGCCTGGCTTATTATTTTTAAATGCCTTATTATCTCTGTTCTCATAAACAAAACATGTGAGTTGCTCTCTCTGTGCCACGTTACCTTCATCTCTCTCTTACGTTTCACAAAAGGTGGTGCAGAATGGGGGAGCTGAGATGTGGACTCTCATCCCGGGGTGTTTCTCCACCGCGTGATGGGTGTTTGCCCCGGCTGGGAAGGGACTGGGATTGCAGCTGCTACGGGGATGCAGGCGGGGAAGGGGATGGATGGACGGCCCATCCCGAGGACCGGCTCTCCGTAGGGTTTCATCTGTGGTTTGCCCGGGCTTGTGGTTGCTTTTAAACATGGCAGATTTAGGTCAAGCCAGGTCTTGTTCTGGCAGCATTCGGGCGATAGCAGGGGAGGGAAGGAGCCGGTCCCTGCCCCGGTGGCAGCGGGGACAGGGGACCCCTGGGGGAAGGCTTTACCTGGCTGGGGACCCCCTGCCGGACCCCGGTGATGGGGGGATGGAGCTGCTCCTCCCCGTGCCTCTGTCCCCGCTCTCCCTCTCCGCTCAGCTTAGCGTGGTTTGGGGAGCAGGAACCCCTCTCTCGGGGGCTTTGTACCCCAAAGCGAGTGTTTGGGGGAGCGATGGGGGCACACAGCCAAGGGGGCAGGGGATTATCTGCAGAGCCCCACGTGCCATGCGTGTGCCCGTGCCGGTCTGTAAGAGCAGAGCAGTGCCAGCAGGGGCGGGGGGCGTTTAAAGGAGGAGGGGGCAGCTGTGGGATGAGCCTGTGCCCCAGCGGCTGTGCCAGTGCTGGGGGTCTGTCTGTCCGTCTCTCCCTGTGCCATCAGGGCTGATGCTTCTTCTGTGGGTCCCTTTGACCAGGCTTGGTTGGGAGCTGCTACAGTCGTGCGTGCAATGGGGCACGAGCATGTCCCTGTGCGGTCCCACTGCGTGTCCCCATGAGTTCCTACTGCATAGAATCACCAAATCCCAGACTGGTGGGGGCTGGAAGGGCCCTCTGGAGCTCCCCCATCCCACCCCCCGCCAGAGCAGGGGCACCTCCAGCAGTGGCACAGGACGGCGTCCAGGCGGGTTTGGGATGGCTCCAGAGGGGGAGACTCCCCCACCTCTCTGGGCAGCCTGTGCCACTGCTCTGCCGCCCTCACAGCAGAGAAGGCCCTCCTCAGGTGGAGATGGAACTGCCTCTGGTCACCTTTGTGCCCGTTCCCTCTTGTCCTGTCACTGGGCACGGCTGGAAACAGACTGTTCCCATCCCCCCGGCACCCTCCCTTGAAGGATTGATAAGTGTTGAAAAGATCTTATAAGTATTGATAAGATGTCCCCGTGGGTCGGAAGGTGCCTGGGAAGTGGCCGGACCCAGCAAAGCAGCAGTGCCGGCAGGGAGCTGTGCGGCAGGAGCCCGTTCGGGGCAGGGTTTGTGCTGAGCCCACGCGTGTCCGGCTGCCCCCCAGCCCTGCTCCGGGGTCAGGCTGCGACCACGATGGCAGACACAGCCCTTCTCCATCTCACTCCCGGGGGACACCGGGCACTTGGGGGTCAGCGCCGTCCGTACGCTCCCCATGGATGGGCAGCAACAGGGACGCGAGGCTGTATAAGGCAGGGAAGGACCAACTTACCCCAATTTCTCTCCTGTCTATTTTTGTCTCTCTTCTGGCCAGCTTGTTCCAGTGGGAGTTAATTTAATTGCCATCTTCCTCCCCACATCGCTGTGGTTGTGTGTGAGACCTCTTGCTGTGCAGGGTAATTATATGGGTGAAGTGGACATGGGCAAAAAAGAACCTTGTCGCAACAGGCGGCGGAGCGGCACGCTCGCTCTCCCTACGGCCCAGTGCCGCTGCTTTCTCGCAGAGCTGAGGGTCTCAACAGACCGTCCTTGTCCTCAGCCCCTCGGGAACGGGCACGGAGGGGGCAGGAGATGTGTCGGAGGCCGCCGTGGCAGAGGCAGGGATCAGCTGGAGCTCTCCCCGGGCACAGAGCAGCTGCCGCCCCTCTCCCGCTGCAGCACTTGATTTTCCAACTCTTTTTCCCGGTGTAAATCACTCGCTGCAGAGGAGAGAGCAAAGCAGGGGATCTGGCGATGATGGCGCTGCTCTGGGCAGCTCCAAAGTCTTTGCTGTTGATTTTTAAGGCCTGAGCACACTTGGGAATCTCATAGCAGAAACCAGAGCATCTCCCCGGCTATGCCAATGTCCGGTGGCTCGGACCCCTTCTCGGGGACCACGCAGGAGCTGCGCCCTCGGTGCTGTGCACTGGGCACCTCTGACTCAGGGCTTCGTCCAGAGCTCCCCAGCTATCAGGGTTTTCACATCTGGCTTTAACAGGCTTTTTAGATCAAGCACTGACTGAACGCCGCAGGTCTGACTCAGGCCGGTCCAGGTTGGGACATGACAGAGGACGTGGATGCAGCAACACGTGGTTATTATTCACCTGTACACCACACCTATGCGCAAACACCTACGGGCAGATGACAGTTTGCTCTCTTCTCCTCTCTGTTTTGCCCTGGGCTTTCACAGGGGCACGGCAATGAGTTTTCTCCTTTCTGGGGCTCACGTACTCCCACTCCACTTGGGATTTGGAGCCAACGGTGCTGTGCAAAATTCAGCTGGAACTGCTGAATTTCCCCTGGTTGAGTCACAAAATGACCCTGCCTGCAAGGAGCATCCTGCTGTGAGCAGGGCTTTGTATTCGGGGTGAACTTTGCTTCCCAGCAAACCACGTCTCACAGGAGCACCGGTACCCTGGGCTGGATCAGCATCCTCGGGAGGGTGGAGAGGATGGTCCTGTGGGGAAACTGAGGCAGGCGGGTGCCTCACACAGAGCTGGGAGCTGAGCGAGCATCGCTCCAGGCTGGTTGCAGCCCCTCTGCAGTGTGTCCAGGCTCCTGCTGACCCCGGGGCACGGATGCTGCCCTCCACCTCCCTTGTAGGGCCTCTTGTTATAGTCCCTATAATTACACGTGTGAGGTCTGCTTGCCTTCCTCCCCGGCTCGTGCTTGTAGGACTTCTTGTTATATTGAGTATAATGAAGTGTCCGAGGTCTCTCTCCCCCCGACCCGCCCTTGCCTGCCTGCGTGTAGGACCTCTTGTTATAGCCAGGGAAATTATAGGTCTTTGGTCTCCCTCCCTTCGCCCAAGCTATAATTTAGTTTTATATAAAGTGCGGTCCAGCCCCTGTTGTGCAAGCGGTTGCTATTCCAGGTTCTGGGGAGAGGGATGGAGCAGCGAGGAGGGGGCTCGCAGTGGGTGGGGGAGCGCAGCATCGCACTGAGCACCATCCGTCCCCCCCGGATGCCCCACCATGTGGGGGGACGACAACCGGCCCCCAGCCCGCAGTGCTCTGCCGGAGGTGGTTATGCCTTCTCCTGGCTGGGTTTCTGCAAGGGGGTGTGTGTGGCGTTGGGGTTTATCCCCACAGGGAATAACACGGCTCTTATTTTGGGTTTTGCGTGCCCCATGGAGGGGGTCCCGCAGGGGCTGCTCCTGTCCCAGAGCAGGCAGGAACGCGCCGGGAGGTGGCAGCCAGCTCCGGCAGGGAAGACAGTGGCCCTTTCATGGGAAGGGGGGATGAAAAATCCAGCTTGAACCGCTGAGCGTAACCAGATCGCCTGGCTTTTTAGAGAAGGAATGTGGGACCTTGGGAGGGTTTTTGGGAGGGTGCTGCCAAACCGCTGGCGTTGCAGCGGGGGGATGCAGCCCCAGTGCCCATCCCTAGCAGCCCCAAATCCCTCACCGTGCTCCAGTTCTTCCCCCCAGCCGTGTACTCTGGGCTGCAGAAGGATCAGGGGCAGATGGATTTGGCTCATGCCCAAAATCGGAGTCCCAAAGCACCGCCCGGTGCCGTTTGCCGTGGCTGGGGATGTGCTGTGGGATGCTGTGGGTTTGGGTGGGTGGGGGGCTCTGCCCACAGCTCGGTGCACCCCGGGGTGCTCAGCTCCAGCCCCGTTTCTCTTGCAGAGGTGGGCGAGACCTCGCGCCCTTCGCCGAGGCAGACGCCAGCAGCACCTTCGGCAGAGCCCCCGCCGGCCCCCTGCCCCGCTGCCGGCCCCGCGGCGCTGAAGAAGGAGAAACCCCTGGAAGATGATGAATCCCAAAAAGTCCTGACGAAGGGCCCCCGTGCCGAGCTCGCAGGCACTCCCGAAGCTGTGACATGTGAGTGTTTACCCTCCGCGGTGCCACGTGCAGGTCCGGACACCTTCGGGTGCCCGTGCTTTGGGGCTGCTGCTGTCTAATCAGTAACAGGGCTCATTAGAAAGGCAGGTAGTCATGGTGGGAAGCCGTCTCCTCCTCACTCTGCTCTTCCCCACATCAAAGCGAAAGGTTTTAACTGAGCGTGAGTCACTGGGATCTGGGGAAAGTGAAGGGCGGCATCCAGCAGCACCGTGATGCCTCTCGCTGCCCTCATCTTTGGGACCAGCTGGAGGCAGAGGG